AGGGGAAGGACCCAACTAAGATCGATAACTTCTATCTGGAGTTGAAGACACACGAGATTAGTCTTTGTGCTATTTCAGAACACAGATGGAGAGGCGAAGGACAAATTATGGTGGATGATGAATGGTTGTTTCTCTTCTCAGGTATTGAGATCGAGGCGGAAAAGCAATTCAGGGTGTTGGCTTTTTGTTGAACAGCGACATGCAGAGGGCATGGAAAGACGCGGATCAGTTCTGTGAGTATGGTGGCGGGCGGTTGATGCGGATTAGGCTCTGTGTTAAGGGACGCTTTTTCAGTGTTATTTCGTGTTACGCTCCTACGTTCCGTTGTTCTGACGAGGAGAAGGAGGAGTTTTATGAGGCGCTGGGTGAGATGGTTGACAAGATCCCGCGGAAAGATGAAATAGTTGTTTTGGGCGACTTTAATGCGCGAGTGGGGTTGGCTAATGAGGACTCATCGGAAGATTCACCTACGGTGCACGAAATGGTTGGCAGACACGGGTTACCTGAACGTAATGACAATGGAGTCAGGCTTTTGGATTTCTGTGCAAGTCGCAGTAAGAAACAACTCCGCGTGGCGAGCACTTTCTTTCAGCACAGGGAGTATGGCACGTGGTTTCATCAGTCGTCGAGGCGATGGTTTCAATTGACCACGTAATTTCTTCCCGCCAAACTCTGGGTCTAATTCCGGATGTGCGGGTTATGCCGGGATATGTACACAATACGGGCCATAGGTTTGTGCGTTTGCAGATGGCGGTGCCACCCAAGGCGATGCTGCAAAAATTTTATGGGTCGTCCATGAAAGCAGGCCCTGAAAGTCGTCCTCCCAGGCTTATGGTTGGTGGGTTTCAGGATAACAAGGTGTCTGACGACTTCAACATGCAGTTACATTCACTTATGAGTGAAGGTTTCTTTGATGAAGGTTGCCCGCTGTTCGGTCACGCGGTGCGCAAAGTGGCGGAACGTTGTCTTGGCGAGTTACCTAAGCGAGGGGGGCCAGAATGGAAGATAGTGTATGCAGAAGAATTAGCTTGCCTTAGCCAGGAAAAACGTCAGGTGGCTCTGCGTGCTCCTGGTGGGTTTATGTCTGAGGCATATAAAGAGAAGTGCAAAGATGTCAAGGGAGGCTTTATTAACGAGTGGTGGGTGGCAAAGGCGTCGGAAATACAAGCGAGGGTGGATGCCAAGGATCACAAGTACCAGTTTGCGGGTTACAAGGAGCTGCGGCGTGTTTTGGCGATCGGAAGAAAAAGTTCGTGCAAACTTCGCGATGCTCAGGGCAATCTGATATTAACCAGGTCAGGAAGGATTTGCCGGTGGCGAGAATACTTTAAAGATTTGTTGAATGTTCCCACGAATGTTAAGATGTACCAAATGGACAACATTGCCAGTATTGTGCCTGATTTAAGTTTGGACGTCGTACCGAATTTTGAAGAGACGCTGGCAGCCGTAAGTCGTCTGAAGCCGGGTAGGGCAGCGGGCCCAGACGGAATTGAGGCTGAATTTTTAGGCGCGATGGATGCTACTAACTTGAGAGCTCTACATGAATTTTTTGTTCGCGTATGGACGGGTGTTGATGCTATGCCGGAGGAGTGGAAGGAGGCGTTTTTAGTTCTTTACCAAAAAATAGGGCGACTTAACGCTGTGCAAGCGGTGGAGAGGCATTTTGTTGGCGTCCATTCCTGGGAAGGTTTTTACAAGGGTTATTAACGCCAGGCTGGCTCAGTACGCGGAGACGAAAGGACTCCTACCGGAAACTCAGTGTGGCTTTAGACCCGGGCGAGGGACGATGGATATGGTGTTCGCTTTGAAACTGGCTATGGAAATTTCGGACTACAAGAAACACCCCTTTCATGTTCTGTTTGTTGACCTCGTTAAAGCGTACGATTCTGTCTCTTGCGCGGGTGTTTGGGCCGTGCTCAAAAGAAAGGGCGTCCCGCCCAGGCTCATTCCGAATCCTACGTGACTACTACTCGGGTAAAAAGGCGAGGATTAGCGTGGAAGGTGGCTTGTCCGATGAGTTTGATCTGGAAACAGGCCTTGTGCAAGGGTGCTGCGTTGCTCCACTGCTCTTCAACATTTTCTTGGCTGCTGTTGTTGAGGCTTGGGTTGGGGAGTCTGGTGGAGGGGTACATTGGCTCACACGAATTGACGGGGCACTGTTACACAGGGAAGCGCAGGGCAAATACTCGTCATGGGAAGCGTTAGATCTTCATGAACTAGGTTATGCTGATGATGCAGCACTTATCGCCGATACGCTTTCGCAATTGCATGGAGTGGCTAAAGGTTTCCAGCTTCACCTCCGAGAATGGGGTCTTCAATTGTCGGTCGAAAAGACTGAAGCCATGTCGTCTGCTCCGGGCGTGCATGCACCTATTCCAGTTGAGGAGTTTGAAGGCATCGACGGTGTTAAGTTCTCCGAGTACTTTGAGTATCTTGGTGTTATCATGCAAAGAAACGGCTCGGGTGATATGGCTGTCAAGGAAAGGGTGGAGAAAGCTAAAAAGGCGTTTTGGTCGCTCAATAGTTCTGTGTGGAACGTCCGGCAGTTGTCCCTAAGCACCATGACTTAGCGTCTACCGCGCTTGTGTTCTGTCTGTTTTGTTGTATGGGGCTGAAGTGTGGACACATACTTACCCGGTGAGGAAAAAACTGGAGAAATTTCACATGATCTGTCTGCGACGGCTTTCGGGTTACGGGTTGCGATATCAACAGGATCATTCACTATCCAATGATGATCTGCGGGCGTGGCTGGGTGTTCCCTCCATTGCGGATCTTGTCTGCCAATGTCGGCTTAGGTGGCTTGGTCATGTAGGTCGTATGCCGGATCATAGACTCCCCAAGCGTGTTTTGTTTGGTGTTCTCCCTACTGATGTTGGTCAAGCTAGAAAGCCTGGTCTTCAGTCTGGGAAACGGTTACGTGACTCCTTTGCCAAGGATCTTACTGCAGCAGGCATTGATCGGCAGGGGTGGTTGCAGTTTGCAAATAGTGGGGAAGGTGCTGCGCTTTGGAAACAAAAAGCAGCGGGTGTGGCGTTGTGGCACAAACCACTGGCGGTTATTCCAAATGTCCCGCCCCCACCTAGAACCCAGCTGCCCAGGGGAAAGGTGTTCCAGTTTAAAAAGAGGGTAGGGCATGAACAACGCTTGATACAAGCTTCTGACCGTCTTCGAAATGAACTGGCGTCAAGATTGCGTTCTTGAGGTTGGAACTGGCGTCTGGGGGTCGGGAAGCATTGGCGCGAACGCTGATGACCGAAGTTCGCGAAAGGGTACGTGCAAATCCGGAGGTGGATATGGAGGAGTTGTGTTGCGATTTGGTGGAATGTAGTTTTCAGGACGCGGAAACGGAGGGTGATCTTGCCATGTTTTGGTTGTTGGTGTCCACTGTTCTACTCTCCCTACAAGCGAACTTGACGGAGTTCTCGCGCTCTCCTTATACCGGTGTCACTCCGCGAAGAGTTTCTAGAAAGATGTGTCCTCCGGCATGGTACGTTAAAAAACAGGATGATGCCAAGGCTATCTTGGACGGCGCTAGAGTGCGTACTAAGTATTGGAATCTCCGGAATGTGCCTAAGACCACTGATGTTTCTGATGGTGACTACGCCTGTGATTTTCCTGGATGTGGGCGAAGGTACACAACTAAGGGCGGCCTTTCGCACCATAAGTTGATAACGCACAAGGTAGGTACTTTTCGGCAGGCAGGTTTCGATTGTAAGCTCTGTCCGCGTTCTTTCGAGAGGGAAATGTGGCTTACACGGCATGTTAACTATGATCATCCCTTTCATGTGCCCGTTCTGTCTAGGTTATTGGCCTGGTGCTCCTAGCCTGAGATTGCATATCGCAGCTGACCATAGGTTCGAGGAAAAAGATTTTCCTGCTCCTTGCGCATTGTGCCTCCGAGATCACCAGAGTAGCGAGACTTTCAAGAGTGTGCATCAGTTTAAGTACCACCTCAAACGTTTCCATCCGTAGCGCAGCTTTTGCTCAGCTCTTGTAAGCCGGTAGCATGACGGAGAAGAAGGCGGTTACGACGAGGGTGGATGCTCTGGAGACCCAAGTGCGTAACGTGGCGTGTCTTGCGAATGCTACTGCAAAGGGGGTTGGGAAGGACAAAGTCC